TCATAGGAAAATGCATGAATTTTTAATAATACCCAGGGCATTCTCATCAGGAAACAGAATTTGAATGTGTTTAGGCCCCAATGACCCATTTCTAGGCAACAGAGAGTGTAGGAAACACGTCAGGAGAGACCATACTGGCATTTTCTTTAAGAAAACTCTACAAAAAAAAACAAAACTAAAAACACCAAGAAGGAACAAAAACTAATTTGCATTTGGTCTCATTTGCATCCTGGTCCTTGTTCAAAGAATAACAAAAGCCAGAAAAACAGGGGCTGGTGAGATGTCTCAGTGAAAAAGAGAGCTTGCTGCATAGGCATGAGATCAAATCCACAGCACTCACGTCAAAAGCTATGTGCGGCCTCATAAGTCTGTGCCGGTGACCTCAGTATTTTGTAGGAGTGGGGCAGAAGACAGAGTGGTGGGGCTTGCTGGCTGTTAGCCTAGCTCCAGATTTAGTGACTGTGTTTCAAGGGAACAAGGTAGAAAGAGATAGAGCAGGGCACCCACCCACACATGCTCCACTAACCCCAGCACTCATTTGGGTACATGCACCTAAACGCATGTGAATATACACAACACACATACATATACATGCCCATATCAAAAAACAGAAAATCCAACTGTTTAATAAGTTAGTAAAGCAGTAGGAGAGAGGCAGATAGGCATAGGAGGCAGCGTATCTGATAGCATTAACAACCTCTAGTTAATATTCTCGGGAATGGGATGGTTTCATGGTTGTGTTTATTGGAAGGTCCTTAATCTTTCAGTAGTACGTCCTGGAGTATTTTCAGGTCAGGAAATGTGGTGGCTAAGATAGGACCATGGCATAGTATGGTGTGGTCTTGGGTTCTTTTTCCTTGCTGGCTTTTCATAGTAGAGTCCCACAGGCCTTTAAAACATTATCATTTATGACGTAGCAAAACATGCAAATAATTCCTCCAGTTTGAAATATTCTTTTCCCTGATAATTTTAAAAGAGACAAGAGAAATTGGGGGTGGATTGGGGTGTTCCCGAGAGCACTATATGCCTTCTATCTGTTCACTGGGGTAAGTTGAGGTATCCCTGAGAACGCTATATGTCTATTTGTTTGTTTGTTTCTGTTCACTGGGCTTCACAGGCGTCGGCCCTGGGCTCGACTTAGTGGCCCGGAGGTATGAGTGGGACAGGATGACATGTAGCTGGCCATAATGAATAACTGCTGAATCTGTGTGATGGTGTGAAGAGGGGAATGTCATAGCACGTTGAAAACTGCCTGTGTATTTAAATACGTTCATGTTAAATAAAGACATTTTGAAAAAAGTCATTTAGTCACTATTTTGACTTTTGTTATGGATAGGGATTCCAAACAAACCAACACACAAACAAACAAATGGATAAGCAAGCCAATTATTTAAAAGTTGATATTCATGTAGATGTTGCATACATAAGAAAGGCATTAAGATGATGTATTGGAACAAAAATTGTAACTATTAAGCTTGGATTTAAAAATCTAACCTGACAGATGGTTTAGTAAATTCACTTTTCTTTTTTGTTGGTTGGGAGAATAACCCCCATATGATCAGAGCTCCTGTCTAGCAGCAGGGCACTGCTGTCTTTGGAGAAGGCCATGTGAGAATGCCGTAGCTGCTCTTGAAGCAAAATAACCACTAAATGGAAACAAAAGCCTGCACAGGAATCCAACTGCCTTTCAGAAGAGTCTAGTTTACAGAGAGTGGGTGATGCCACTGGAGGGCCAGCATGTCAGTGGGGGCTGGGCTCTCCATAGGCTCAGGCATGTCCCACCCAGCTCTTCATGCCCCCTTCACGCTTTCACAGGTCATTGCCAGAAACAGTTAGTGCATGGGAACTCCAGGCAAGACCTGGATGTGCTGGGTGCATGCGCGGTAAGTGTGGCTAGGAAGCCCCCCATAGGTATTAGAGCCCTCAGGAAGGTTTTCTGTGAATGGTAGAAAATTGAAGAGACTCAAAGACAAGCAGTATGCTCCAGGAAAAGCGGAAGAATGAGGCGAGCATCCCTGGTCAGAGAGCTGACTCTAGTTAATCCTATATGTGGAAAGAGTACAGCCTGGGTCTAAGCACTGGGCAGAGAGAGAATGGCAGAGAGGAAGGCAGGAAGAGAAAGTGCAACGTGGAAACTAATGAAAGCTGCCAACGCTTAATCTCAGAAATGCTGGAACAGGCATATAAATCCCATCAGGAACCCAATAGGAATGCCGATTCTTATGCCCATTCTATATCCCCTGAGTCAGAAACTGGCGGTCGGGGTGAGGCTCAGGCATTGCCATTTTAGCAAGCCCTATAGGCATTATGGAATTTGAGAACATTGGTCTGTACCAGCAATTCTTAATTAAAGGTGATTTTACCATCTAGGGAACATTTTTCAATGTCTAAATATATTTTAGGTTATCAAATTGATGAGAGGGAGGGAAGGAGAGAGAGAGAGAGAGAGAGAGAGAGAGAGAGAGAGAGAGAACAACACTAAGCTCCCTATAATACACAGCACAGTTCACAGTCCCCCCAGAACAGTACCCAATGCGTCAGCTGGGAAGATGGTGAGAAACAGAGCCTTCTTCCACATTTCACTCTTCCTTCTTTTCCTTTCTTCCTTTATCCTCTCTCTCTCTCTCTCTCTCTCTCTCTCTCTCTCTCTCTCCTCCCCTTGTTTCTGTCTCCTTCCATTGGATTATCTGTGTATCTATCTCTTAGGAGCTCCTGTTCCCACAGAGATCTCAGAGCCCTCAACACCCCACATTATTTATGTTTTTATGCATTCAACCATATCAAACACTCTTCTTTACCCACTCAGTAACTCCCACTGACAAACACCAAAGGAGGAGCTGTTTTATTCCCAGCCCAAGAAAGACATTTATTGTACTGAGCACGGCTCAGAGCAGAGTTGCTAATTGTCACCTGTATCTGAAGCTGTCACTCTCGGGCATCCTTAAAAAGGAGCTTCTACCAAGAAACCCAGTCAGAAGTCCCATGTTTTGGCATGAATGAGAGTTTCTAGAGGTTTTCCTAAAATAACCATTTTTCTTAAGAGAAAGAGGTAGAATTTGAATTTGTCATTACCACCGTGGAAGACAGCAAGTTCACTTGACAATTCAACCCCAAATTCCACACAGAGTGGGGTTAAACAGAGATATGTAACATTAAAGAGACTAGGACTAACCAATCAGATGGGGTCCTAACCTGAACAATAACACTGAAACCAGAAGAACGTCACCCATCAGAACAGTCTTCAGAGTGAACTGGGTGAGGGGAATGCAGTCCCAAAAGCAAATGGCGGCAGGGCCTAGAATGAGTGTTGACTGTCAACTGGACAAACTTGAGACTCGCTCAAGAGGAAGATGACCTCGTAGGCACGCCTTTGGGGGAGTATCTTGATCATGTTAAATGATGCGGGAAGTCCCATTTTCATTGTGGATGGGACCTGATCTGTGTTCGAGTGGAAGAAGTGAGCTGAGCACTCGCACATGTGATTCATTGCTCTCTCCTGGCTGCAGATACACCGTGAGCAGCTGCTTCAAGTGCCTGATGCCTTCTCTCCCCCCATGATGGACTGCAGCCTGGAACTGGGAACTGAGATCAATGCTTTCTCCCTTAAGGTGCTTGTGTTGAAGTATTTTTTATCACAGCAACAAGGAAGATACCAAGAGAGTGCCCATTTTACAATGTTATGAGAATGGGTTCCCTAACGGGCAAGCATGAAGGTTTCTTTGGAGTAGTGGATGAACCATCCCTTTTGCCCATGTGTGGAGGGGATGCTCTTGATTTTCAGCATCTGAAGCTAATGGCTGAGTTTCCGGACACCCCTGCCTATGCCCTCAAACTTTATTTACCATTTCCCCCCAACAACTGTCTTCCCGGTTCACTCACAATACAATGCTCTAGAGAAGCCAATGCAGCCCTGGATCTACTTGATAATCATGTTTCTCACTGAACTTTAATCAGCCATCTGATTTATAGACACTTTGTGTCCAGTGAGTTAGTGAGTCATCTGGAATCAATAAAGTCAGCTCTGTGGTATTAGCAATGGAACTTCTTCTGCTCCCACGGTCAAGCGCAGGCCAGCCCATTGGTCACAGCAGATGTCCACAGGCCCTGATTTCTGATGTTCAGTCTGTTGACCCCCTCTCATGATCCCTGACCCTGCGAGTGCATGGACCCCACACCCCCAACTTCTCCATTCCCACAGTGCTCCAAACACTTGTAGTAGATTTTTAAGAATGGTCCTGAAACCTGGCAATTCTTCCCATGGAGAGGTAGAATCTATTGTATTTGAATTTGGAGTAGGCATGTTACATACTTTGGCTTCTAGGCTGTGGAGGAAGTAGCTGAGTTCTTAGCCTTGTGCTCAGAGGCCTTGCAGCAACTATTTGGGCCTCTTGGAACACACGGTTACTCTATGTGAAAGTTTAAGATAGCGTGTATGATGATGACAGTTAAGGCTCAACCTCCCTCCCACCCTCCACTGCGTACGACACCCTGACAACCTCCAGACGTTGTCACCCTGTTCATGAGTGTCGGAACATGGATGCCTAACAGAGGCCATGCAAGTTCAGTCTAAGAATCAACGAACTGGCCCAAACCAGTTTGCCAATGCACAAAGTTATAAGTTAAATGTGCTTACTATTTCAAACAACCACAATGGAGGGGGCTGGGGTTGGAGAGTCACACATTATATAGTCATAGATACTTAATGCAGAAATATTTTCCTTCCAGAAACTTCCAATTATACTCTGAAGTTATTACCACATTTTGTTTCTGAGAAGCCCCAGGCTGTCTTTTGACATAATACAGCAGGATTTATTTTGGGCTTTTGTGTGAGCGCCGATAGCTCTGGCAGTAGAAACAGCCTGCCTTTCTTTCACTAAGATTTTAAAAGGTGAGGTTTGGAAAAAGTGACACAGCAAATCTAGTGCGCCAATGTTCATGTGTAAAGAAGAAGGAGGAGTCAATGCACTCTCAAATTCACATCTCTTGGATATGGATCTTACCTTCAGCCGACGGTCGGGATCTCCACTACACAGAGAATTCACTGATACCTTGAACGACTTCCAGGCCGGGCTTAAGTTATTCATCACAACCTGGGAAGAGAAAGGCATGAAGAGTGGTTTGAAGAGCGGAGGCTTGACATTTTCATACTTCAACATAACAGCTACTCGAGAAGCCACAGCGGTGCTTACATAAAGGACAAGTGTCTGGAACTTGTCGCTTGATGAAAACTTGAAGGAGTGAGTGTCTTAAGAGCGGCCACAAAGTGTGTCACTGTGGGCAGAACTCCTGCGGTCACTGGCCCAGATGTTCTTCCATGAGTAGCTACAGTGGCATTGCCCAACATGTGGATATAGAAGATTACCTCTTCTTCAGCCAGAGGCCTGCGGTTGAGGCCTGGCTGCCTCTGATCACTGATAAGGGATTCCCCCGTCCCGCAGGACCATCAATCTTATGGCACAAAATCTTTCCCCTCGGAGTCAGCAGAGGAAAGGGATTTGGCAAGGGTGGAGGGGTACTGTTGAAGAATCGTCACCACTAGCTTTGGGGCTCTGAGCAGTTCACGGTTGCTGGGGCCAGGGAGTCTTTTAGTCGTGTGGTGCAGCTCCTGGTGAGTTGTCCATGCCCCAGTAAACAACCCCACAACCATATTCATGCAAGCAGCCCTTGTTAAACTCAGTGGGTCACATGAACACACAAAAAGACATCAAAGAAGGAGGTGAACTTTTGATCAGAAGGCATCCAGTAGGGGTAAAAGGTTAAGAGAGGGTTAAGGGTGACAAATGAGCAAAATACACTATATACATGTATGTATGACACACACACACATATAAAATACACACATACACATATATACATACATAACACATATATACATATATAAACACATATACATATACACATACATACATACAGGAGACCTTTGGTAATCTGTAACCTCAAGTCATATCAGATTGGGGAGTCAGCGAAATTTCTCGGTGAAGAACACTAATAGCAATTTTCCATTAGCTGATCACAATCTCAATTAGAATAACATGGCAACTGTTCAGATTATAAACTAAGCCAGTAATATAGGACAACTTATTTAAAATCAGCTTACTAGTCAAGAACTTGGCTGAATATTGACCAAGGGTCCATGAGACTTATCCTGTCTTTTAATGGTTTGAATAATTCGGCGTGGTTCAGTGTGAATAAAGTACCAAACACGGACTCTAGGACAGGGGCTATCGAACTGTGGTTCCTGGACTTCTTACAAACAGAAATTCTGGACTTTATCCAGTCCTATAAACAGAGGCTTTTTAGGAAGATCTTCCAGGTTATCTGAATGAAGCCTAAGAACTAATACACTCGGGAACACACAAATAAAGTTAAATTGTTAAATTGAACTCTGCCATGTTAATCTTCCTTCATATGAAGTTTTTATGTAGATATCTTTGTGGATTTTTTTGAAAAAATAATTCAAAATAATGTAATATTTCATAAATTATTCCCACTTCTACTGAATTCCTTACTACTACTATGAATTATTGATTAGATCACAGATTCATTGTTAAGTTTATTTTAACATGTTAAAATACGGAAACAATATTCTCTTGTGGCTTTGTCTTATCTCCTGATATTCTGGGCATGATCAAATTATTGTGAGAAGGAGACCTGAATAATAAGACCTGTGTTTGTTTTAATTGCTTACAGTTACTAGCAACATTTTAATGAAAATACTAAGGAGTGAAGATTTTTTAAGAAAATTGAATAGCAAATCAAATTTTAACGAAAAATTTCAAATCTATATGCATGCATGACTGTACATGTATGAGTGTGTATGTTTGTGTGTGTGTGTGTGTGTGTGTGTGTACACCAAGAGTGTAAAGCTGCGTGTTTATTTTGAACCTGCTGAGTAAGCAAGAGAAACCATCAGTGCTATGTTATTTGATCTATTGGAAAGCTACGTGATCAGCAACGTTATGAGATTCCAAGAATTCCCCAGCACTGGGGCAGGGGACAGAAATTGCATAGTTTCTTGGGAACAGGAAAAGTTCCCACTATCAACAATTGCAGGACAACTGGCAGGCGTCATGAAAAAGAGGATCTTAGGAGAGACGAACCCAACAGTATGCTGTGTGTGTCTCTTCTCCTTTCTGCTGTTCACTGACTCAGCAAAAGGCATGAATGAACACCGCTGCTCTGTCTTCCCCAAAGTTCATTTTACCATGGGAATCTTGATAGCAGCAGGAAAGCATTTGGCAATAGTTAGACAGGAGCACTCAGGGAACCTGTACTCTCTACCCATAGCCAAGTTTCCAGGGGCTGGAACCCAGACAATCACACTGCTCTTCAGCATCCACACGATCCCCATTCGTGCCAGCCACATGCCAGACGGTATCTGCTATTAACCCATTTGAGACTACTCAATTCTTGTCAACCTTAAAAATGACAGAATTCCCCTTTGCTGTTTCAGGAAAAAAGAGTTCGATTGGCAAAATGACATGGTAGGAATATGATGCCCCACTGTCACCCCATGAAAAAAATCACTGGTGTTCCTGCTTCCTTTCCTTTGCCATTGGCACACACAGGCTATTTGAGTGTCAGGTCATCCAGCACAGTTATTCTGTTTCCTTCTTAGAGAATTTCTCGTGTTCTGGCTTGCAAATCTAATAAAATAATGGAGATTGTAGTTGGTCGCTGCATTAATTACTTTCCTTATTATGATGACAAAATGCCTGACCAAAGCAATGAACACAGGAAGGTATAGTTTGTCACTGTAGCAAGGAGAACACGGCAGTAGGAGAGTGAGGACACATTGCATGAGCAATCAGAAAGCAATGAGAAGAATACGGGCGCTCTACTTTCTCTCTCCTTCTTATTTATCCTGAGACTCCAGCCCACAGGATTGTGCTGTTCACATCTGCGTCTTTCCCACCATAGCCAAGCCTCTCTGGAATTGTCCACATACACCCCTGTGGTGGTTCACAAGAAAATGGCCCCCAAAGGGAGTGGCATTATTAAGAGGTATGGCTTTGTTGGAGTAGGTGTGGCCTTGTTGGAGGAAGTGTGTCAAGGTGGGGTGGACTTTGAGGTCTAGGCTCAAGCTATTCCAAGTGTGACAAACCATTTCCTTCTGATCATGATGTAGCCAGCACCATGTCTGTCTATGCGCTGCCATGCTCTCTACCATGGCAATGGACTGAACCTCTGAAACTCTCAGCCGCCACCTCAGTTAAATGTTTTCCTTTATAAGAGTTGCCGTGGTCATGGTGTCTCTTCACAGCGATACAAACCCTAATTAAGACAACCCCATAGGTGTTTTGGTTCGTTTGTTTTTTGTTATTGTTGTTGTTATTTTCTTTCCAGGTGATTCTAAACCCTATCAAATTGACAGTGGAGATTAGCTACCATAAGCACTGGTCATATATGTGAAATAGTCATACCAGGGCTTTATGGCAGGGGATGACATAGGATAAGACCTGTTACAGTGTGGCTCTAAAATGTCTCACACAGACATATATTTGAACATTTTTTTTTCTAGTTGGTGGTATCTTTTGAACACGTGTGGAACCTTTGGGAAACACTGCCTAGCTAGGAGACATTGGCCACAATGCAGGGCCCTGTTTCGGGTCTTGGTTTCATTTCCTGATCCTTCAAGCTGTAGAAAAGCCCCATTGCATGAATCTGTGCCTTGGGCAGCACCACTGCAGCCGCCCTGCCTCCTCTCCCACGGTAGGCTGTATTCCTTGACAGCAAGAGCAAAAACAAAGCTCCCAGCCTTTATATTGCTTCTGCCGGGTATTTGGGCACAGGGATAATGAAAGTGGTGAACAGGGCACCCTTGGGAGGCAGAATGAGTGAGAAGGAGCACAGCTTGACCCAGGGACCCAGTGGCTGTGATGACAGGGCAGTAGCTCACACAACAGCTTCAGGAGAAGTATTTTACCCGAGTAAGCATACTGCCTTACAAACTCAGTGAAGCTGACTCGAACAGAGCCTACATAAAACTCAGCTCCACTTGTTACCAATTGTGAAACATAGGAAATGGTGTAATTGTCCCAAAGTCCAGTTCCTTTGACTGGAAAGCAGGGCAACAATATGTCTACCACAGAATAAGAAGTAAAATACTGCATGTAAACCATTTCAGATGATGCCCCTTCCCAGTTGCCTCATTAAATGTTAGCTCGTATCATAGTCAATGTCTTCTACATTTACTGTGTGTGAGTGTGTGTGTGTGTGTGTGTGTGTGTGTGTGTGCATACATACACACATGTGAACTTGTGGTTGTCTACCCTTTGCAGTATACGGCCAGAAGTCAGAGAACACGTTTGCGTGGTCAGTTTTTTCTTTCACTTGTAGGTTCTGGGGATCAAACTCAGGTCACCAGACTGAGCCACCTTGCTGGTCCTAGTATTCTTAATTCATATAAATAAATTTCTGGTTGGCTGTGTTGGAAGTCAATGATGTGAAAATGGGACTTGAAGGGAGGGGTCTTTTCTTCAAATTTATAAAATTAGAGTAAAAACCCTAAAATGCAGAGGATTATCTTGAGGAGAGAGAGGTCCCAGGTATTTGTGTGTAAACTAACATGGAGGGGGAACCGCTACGCCCCCCAAGCCCAGACAAAGAACTACAGACAACAAAGGAGTGGTCAGAGCAGGAGAAATAGCCTTCCCCGGAGAAGAGCCCCTCAATTGGTTTTCCAATACCAAGCAGTCACCTCTGAAATCATAAAGCAACATTTTATAGACTAAGCAGGCTGTATTTCTATATTTAAGAATACTACACACACATACACACACACACACATACACACACACACACACTCATTAAGGAAAAAGAGGTCGTGAATTTGAGAGAGCAAAGAGGTACATGGGAAGGGTTGGAGAGAGGACAGTGAAGGGGGAAATGGTATAATTATATTTTAACTTCTAAAACACTGAAAATGGTTTACAGAAAAGAGAAAGGAATCTGGATGCTTCTCTGCTGACCTCCTCAGAGGGCGGACATCACAGGCTTCTTACCTCCGTCCGGTGCACAAGCTGCTGAGTTGCGTCATCATTCATCCTGAAAATTTCCAGAAATGGGTCGGATTTACTGAAGAAATCCTAAAATAGATAAACAGAATTAAGGTTTCTTTCTTTTCTCTTCTGTTTTTCTTTTCCTTTCTTTCTCTTCTGAACTTAATGTAGTGCTGAGCACTGGGAGGTTTAATTATCCTAAACTAACCTCTGACTTCCTGTGGAACGGGGCCCAGCACACCATTTCTTTTTGAAAGCTCAGCCTCAACTTCACTGCTTTCACTTTCTTGTCCTGAAGCAGTGCACATCACCCCTATTTGCTGTCTTCTCATCCCTCTAATCCACTCCCTGGCCTGGAATTAGCTGCATCTGAACTCCGGGGTCTTTATAAAATATCTGTTAGGCTGAACTCTGAAGGTCTCTTGACAGATGGATTCAAATGACAGTTTGTTGAGAAGTGAGAGAGCTGTTGTCTCAAATACGTCGACTGTGATTATGGTGGAGCCAGCGTCTGACCACTGTGATGTCCGGATCACTTATGTATCTGTCTCTATTATCTGTTTCTTAGTTCTGCTTCTTGGTGTGTTTGTTACTTTGATGAAATAAGCACCACAGAAAGAAGATTACAAAGGTTTTAGATTCATCCTCAGCATTTATTAAGGAGCCAGAATGGAGGCAGTGCCTTGAATCTAATCAGGATTAAGCTATTCAAAGACTGGATTCCTTCATAAGTCTTTAATAAAAGGAATCCGTCTATATCCGAGTCCTTTCCTCCTTGGGTGCTGTCCTTGGAGGGATCTAGCTGAAAGTCAGCGTTTGTGGAGCAGGTTCTCCCTGATGAGAACACAAGGCTCCCTGTGGGCTCTTAGTCTCTGTCCTCTTGGTTTCAGGTTTGTGTTCACTTTCTCTGTTGCTGTCTGAGAATAATGAAGGTCTTGAGAGGTGAAGCCCATGGCTGCACCCCTCCTCCTCTGTAGCATCCCTATTCTCTTAGTGGTCCTGAACTTCCAGCTTTCCTTTTTCTATCCTAGAAGTCTATTAAAAGTTGTGCTCAGTTTTTTTTTCTTTTTAGACACTTCCTGAGAGGCTTCATAGTCTCTATATCCGTGCTATTTAAGGGACCAGGCTTGCACGGGAAACCTGCACAGACTATCTAAATTATCTTCCTGGCTTTCTTCTCTGCTCAGTTCTAGGTCTTTAGCTGAATCCCTTCCCTGCCTGAGAACCCACAGACAGATGCCCCTCATGTCTTTTCTAACACTTCCGGGCGCTTCTAGTAGGGGAAAGAGCCCATGCAAACAGGCGCTTCATTACCAGCATCAGAAACTACAGAATTTGCATCCTCCTTAAAATTATTTTTATACAGTAATTGGCAAATTCTCAGAAAGGAGGAACGATGCCTTGTTGTCACTAACACGTTTACTATTTACTTTCTCAATAGTTTACACAGTGCATACTTTCTTGGTATTTTACAGTGTATACACCTTAGTAGTATACACCTGGTGCTTACTGAAGGAACACAGGCATGAATGAATATAGAAATAATGAAGTAACGGATGACTGAACAAGCCCTTGGTATAGAATAGGAAGTCATCCATTCCACAGTCTTACTCACACACTCTTATCAGCCCCAAATTGTAACAAAACAGAATTCAATCTATAATTGCCCTAATAGCCATCAAGTTTACAAGCTGTCATCTGACATTATATTATTTCCCTTTGGCTTCTATTTGTAACAGTCTCTTCTCTACCAAAGTCTTTACCAGTTTGTCCTCATGTTGAGCTCAGCAAAGGGTTTTCAGGGTGTGTGAAGGCTGTAAAGTCTCTGTGCTGGCGTCAGGATCAAAGGAACACTAGTGCCTTGTTGCACTCTCTAAATATCATCGAGTTTGGTGAGAAGTATAAGAAATGGCATGACTTATGCTAAAGAATGAAGGAGTAGGTTTGCGGGGCTCTTTAGAGAGGAGGGGTATGATCCACTTGACTGTAGACAGCGACTGTGAAGAGGCTGTATTCTAGCGCAGGAATACTGTTAAAGAATAAATGGAGAGGAGTGGAGGAAGCAGTCTAATTTAACTGTGTGTGTGGCTGGTGGGTGACGACAATGCTGGCAAAGGCGGCTCTATAGTAAAGGCCACTGATGCTCACTAGGTCTTTGAGCTACCAAAGGACAGGGAGGAAGAAAACAGCACAATTAGCTGTCATGAATATCCATCTACACAGGACTGCTGTACATATGAACACTGTGTTGGTTTAAATAGGTATGACCCTCATAGGCCCATGTGTTTGAATGCTTGGACTATAGGGAGCATCACTGTTGGAAGGTGTGGCCTTGTGGGAGGAGGTGTGGTCTTGTGGGAGGAAGTATATCACTATGTGTTACAAAAGAAGCAGCGGGCTGCGTTTCCACCGGGATCTAATTACACGGAAACTGTATTCATTTAAACACTGCCTGGACCATTAGTTTCAGCCTCTTATTGGCTAATTCTCACATCTTGCTTTAACTCATATTTAGTAATCTGTGTAGCACCACAAGGTGGTGGCTTACTGGGAGGATTCTAACCCACGTCCATCTTGGGCAGGAGAAGCATGGCGTCTGACTGACTCTGTTTTCTTCCTCCCAGAATTCTGTTCTGTCTTTCCTGCCTACCTATCAGGACCTATCTGACCTATCAGGCCAAGCAGTTTTCTTTATTAATTAACCAATGAAAGCAACAGATAGATAGAAGACACTCCTACATCAACTATGGAGGCGGGCTTTGAGGTCTCATATATGCTCAAGCTACACCCAGTGTGGTACATAGTTCACTTCTGTTGCCTGTGGTTCAAGATGTAGAACTCTCAGCTTCTTCTCCAGTACTGTGTCTGCCTGCATGTAGCCCACGCCTTTTACGGTGAAGATAATGGACTAAACCTCTAAAACTGTAAGCCACCCAATTAAATGCTGTCCTTAATAAGAGTTGTTGTGGTCATGGTGTCTCTTCACAGCAATGGAAACCCTAAGTGATACACACATACAGAGACTGTAGAAGTGCACACAACACCTGCAGAGTTCAAGCCAGGTGGGGTTCCAACATAGAGAGGGACCAGTAGACATAGGGTCTCATACCCAACCAAGAAGCTATTTGTAATTGATACCTATTGGTAAAGAAAAAATTGATCAGTTTTTCCAATGGAGTGTTATTGGAAAATATAGAATGTAGTTATATCAAAAAACTACATTCTAGGGAAGGCCACTAGTAGCCTAGAAGCAGCTGGCCAACACAAACTAAACAGATACTATGATTTGGTGTGGCAGGTTATCTTGTTTAAGCATAGTTTGGTTTTTATTTGTTTAATCTTGATTTTAATTTTCAAGGCTTGCTTGCTTGTTTATTTATTTATTTATTTTGAGAAAGAAAGGGCATGTAAATTGCAGTAAGTTTGGAGGTGGGGAAGGTCTGGGAGGAGTTGGGGCATAGAAAAACATAATCAAAATACATTTGATGAAGAAATATTTAAATGCAAATAATTTTACAAGGAATATAAGCATAGAAACTTTGTAGAGCAACCTAGATGGGCAGTAGGGAATTCCCTTCTCTACTATATCTCTCCTTGTTCAACCTGAGAATCAAACACCAGCTCTTTCACTCAGTGTCTGGATGTATGATAGCACCAAAGCCCTCCTCTGACCAAGAACCCACAATATCTACTGTCTTCATTAGCCTAACCCACAAACCTGTCTCCTCCCCAAATGACCCATTTATCTTTCAGACACACTTGTAGCTGATTTGCATGCACCTGCCAAGGCATTTTCATCTTAGCCTATTTCTGTTTCCATATATACATCTAAAAATATTGCTGCCACCCTCTTATCCCAATTCCCTTATGGATGTGGGCCACATTTGCTTGTTTCTGTGTGCCCATGGGCCCCTGATTTGCCTCCATAAATAGATTACTGTCCCCTCAGGGGATGTTTATGAATTATACTTAAAAATTGCTGACCACAGTAAAAGAACTCTATCATTTATTTTCATTCTTTCCTCCTTATTGAAAATTTAAAACTTTTCTTATCATCATTTTTACTTAAAAATGGAAAATGTAGAAAAATACAAGATAAAAATAGAAATATGGAAAACAAGCACCACAAACATCTGTAACTTGGTGCTTGGAACATGAAGTTTGTATTGTTCATTTCTCTCCTGAAAACTAAGAAGTCAGAAGTTGGGAGGTCTCATAGAACTCTGTAGCTCTCAAACATCATCAGAGAAGCTTCTTTGTGCAGAGGATGGTGCTTAATATGGGATTTATAAGTAGCCAGAGTACATAGAATAAATGTCTGTGGAGGAGGGTTCAGCCACCAATGGGCACCTGTGTCCTATTCCTCCGTAAGACTCAGGGATCATTGTGGAAGGGAAGGTGGTAAGAGCCACAGGTCAAGGAAAATCAGAATGAAGACATCTTCTGGGCACAGCACGATCTCTCCACAGAAGCTGTGGTTGCCTGCACAAAGCCTGTGGAACCTCAAGCCAGTCAACATTCCAGCGTGGAGAGGGAAGAGGCTTATGAACTCTCACACTGAGCTGAGGATCTATTGACAGTTGATGGCTTGGAAAAGTGGGGGACAGAGATTCAGTTTTCTTTAAGGGTGTGGTCCCATGTTCCAGTAAATAGCCCCACAAATTGGACTCACTTGATTATTTAAAAGAGAGACAGAAAGACGCATAGTTGGGAAGGATTGGGATGGGTAGACTTACGAGAAATTAGGGGGTGAATATGATAAAAAATATATTGTATGCGTGAATGAAATTCTCAAAAAAGTAGTAAAAACATTATAAAAAGGAAATTGGTGAGAGGTACCAGGTTTATTCAAGACTTCAGAGTTTCAAATCTATCTCAGTGGTTCAATGCATTATATGGACGCTGTCTCCTCTCCCCACCCCACCCCCAGATAAAAACCTCCATCTTGGAGGGAAGCTCATTACGACACTGAATGTTAAAAGGAGGTAAAACAGTGGAATAGCTTATATTTTGGTTGTGAGCCAAGCCTTTAATGACTGAGTCATCTCTCCAGCCCTAAGAGTGGAAAATCTTAAGACAAAATGTTT